CAGCAAGACTCGCTCACCCTTTAGCAGTCGCACATGGCCAGTGCGAAAGTCTCATGGAGAGTGGAGACTAACAATGGACTATCGTAGCCTGAATGAAGTCACACCACCGCTGAGTGCTGCCATGCTGGACATGCTAGAACTTCAATACTAACTAGAGTCAAAGGCAGCCAAGTGGTATGCCACAACTGATACCACTAATACGTTCTTCTCAATCCCTTTGGCAGCAGAGAGCAGGCCACCACCTGAAACCGACTGCCCCAGGGGTGGAAACACAGCCCTACCATTTGCCATGGACTGATCCACACCGCACTGGAACAGGGTGAGGCTCCGGAACACCTGCAATACATTGATGACATCATCGTATGGGGCAACATAAGGGTGAATTATATATAGCTCGGTGGGCCCATGACACTTCAGGCCATCAAGGAAGAGATGCAACATATAGATGGGCTCGTGATCGAGGGGTGGACTTGGCCATGGACACTATTGCACAAGTTACCCATAAATGTGAAACATGCGCTGCCATCAAGCAAGCCAAGCGAGTAAAGCCTCTCTGGTATGGGGGACGGTGGTTGAAATATAAATATGGGGAGGCCTGGCAGATTGGTTATATCACACTCCCACAAACCCACCAAGGCAAGCACCATGTGCTTACAATGCAACCACCAGATAGCTGGAAACATATTCCATGGTCCGTGCCACTGCCCAGAACACCATCCTGGGCCTTGAAAAGCAAGTCCTATGGCGACATGGCACCCCAGAAAGAATTGAGTCAGACAATAGGACTCATTTCCGAAGCACTCTCATAGACACTTGGGCCAAAGAGCATGGCATTGAGTGGGTACATCACATCCCCTACCATGCACCAGCCTCTGGGAAAATCGAATGATACAACCTAACGACTACGCTGAGAGCAATAGGTGGTGGGACATTCAAGCAGTGGGATACACATTTAGCAAAAGCCACCTGGATAGTCAACACTAGGGGATCTTTCAATCGAGCTGGCCCTGCCCAATCAAAACTGTTATGTGCTGTATACAGGGATAAAGTCCCTGTTGTGCACATAAAAAGTATGCTGAGGAAGACAGTCTGGGTTATTCCTGCCTTGGGCAAAGGGAAACCCATCCATGGGATTGCTTTTGCTCAAGAACCTGGGTGCACTTGGTGGATAATGTGGAAGGATGGGGAAGTCTGATGTGTACCTCAAGGGGATTTGATTTTGGGTGAAAATAGCTAATTATTTGAATTGTATGATGTTAATTGCTATATAATACTGCATTTCATCACTTCTATGGTTGCTATATGCCATATCAACGGTATTACAGTAAGAATCACCTAAATTAATGAAGAATGAACTTTGATGAAACCAAGTAAAGTGCAGTGATGATAGAACCAGACAAGCACAGCAGTGATGGAACCAGAACTGGCCTCAGCATGCAACAATCCAACTCTACACACCATCTCTCCTGCCGTGAAAGACTGTTATGACAGCCCAAAGTCATGGACTAAATGAATTCAATGGACATTTTAGAGGGATGGCCCGTAAATTGAGGGAATGATATCTGTGTGTACGTATCAAAAGACAGGAAAGGTGGTGGTGATTAATTGGGATGTATTGGAAAGTGTGGGAGCTGGGCATGATGTAGATAGTATAGAATAAGGGGTGGCTATTGACGTGGTTTTGGATATCCCTGGCTGGGATAGAGTTAATTGTCTTCCTAGTAGCTGGTATAGTACTGTGTTTTGGATTTAGTACAGGATAATGTTGATAACACACTGATGTTTTAGATGCTGCTGAGCAGTGCTTACACTAAGTCAAGGACTGTTCAGCTTCTCATACTGCCCTGCCAGCGAGGAAGCTAGAGGTGTACAAGAACCTGGGAGGGGACACAGCCAGGACAGCTGACCCAAGCTGGCCAAAGGGATGTTCCATATCATATGACATCATGCTGAACAAAAGAACCGGGAGGAGTTGGCCGGGGAGGGGTGGCCGCTGCTCAGGAACTGGCTGGGCATCAGTCATCGGGGGGGAGGCAACTGACTTT